GATGGAGCTCCTCCACATACAGTCTCAGGGCAGCATTCCAAGAGGAATCCCCAGTGCACAGGCTCTCATCAAGCCTTTGCTTTCCTCCTTTGCTGGTGTCCCTTTGTCCAGAGCAGTCACATGACCGAGCCTAGAGTTGATCTCAGAGGGGATCACACAGGGGCCTGGATACAGGGGAGTGTGATTCCTTAGAGTAGCAATCTACCATATAATACTTCCTCTCCAAGTGAGAGATGGGAAGGTCAAGGAAATGAAAGGCTAGATGTGGGGTTGGTCAGAGCCAGTGGATTCTTGTCCAGCTGTGTGGCTTATTGTGGAAAATGGATCAAGTTGCCCACTCATCCCAGATGTCAGTTTCTTTGTAAAATGGAAGAGAGCCTTCCATATCTCAGCTTCAGCTAAAAGGCTTGCTAGATAAGAGTATAAGAGCTCTTCCGCCATTAATTGGGAGGCCCACACAGAAGGAAAGAGACTTCCTCTTTGACAGGAAGAATTAGTTAAAGCCCCTCTCCTAGGGCCCTGGGATAGGCTACCAAGAAAGGTTGGGATCTCAGTAACTAGAGATATTTAAGAGTTGATCTTTCAGAATCTCCCTAGGTTAGTGGACAGATGACTCCTGAAGGCTCTTTTCATCCAGAATAATCTGAGCTATACCTGTCTGCTAGTGAGAGCTGGAGCCAAGACATGTGAGACTTGGGGAACAAAGAGCATACCCAGAACTCACCGGTTCCACATCTATCTCATCACCCAAGATCTGTTGCTGAAAACTCCCAGAGAGCCTGCAGAGTGAAATGGACAGGTGTGCCTTTCCCTGTGGGGCTTGTTAGCACTTCCCACAAAGCCACCTTCCCTCAGAGGACCCCAGAAGCACATTTGTTTATTAAGTGATTGGCTGTGACCTAGCCCCGACCCCAGGTTGTGATCTCTTGGGTATCTAAATACAATAGCTAACAGAGACTCCTGAGACTCCAAGGGATGGAGAAGGAGGGGGCTCCAGGACCCCAATCTACCTGAAGACCAGAATGCCTGGTGAGGGGAAGGCAGGTCTGAGCTAGAGCCACACCTAAAAACACCCACGGCTGGGGAGCCACTGAGGGATCTCTCCTTCACCCAACCAACAGGATAGAGTAGCTCTTTCCCCTTTTCTTTCCTTTAACCGTTAATTTGAGTGATACTAATTGCCAGGTACTGTGATACCCGTTAGGGATACAATGGAGATTTTTAAGAAATTAGATACAAGGGAGGTGAGATTCAATGTGAAGTTATAGAGTGACACGTTCTATGGAAGCATTTTAATAAGAGAAAATGCCTGGTCTTTCCCCCTTAGGAAGTAGTCCCTTCTGAACTTGGACTGCAGGATGATGGGAGATAAGTAGACAGACTTGCCCGCGGAAAGGAAGATGTCTGGGCAGAGCAAATGGCCTAAGGCGCTGTCCTCTGGGGGTTGGACCACAGCTGGTCTGAGGACCTGTGAAGAGGCCTGTATAGCCGGCGGGTAGGGGGCTGGGGCGTACAGGACAAACTAGGCTGGGTGTGCAGGCAGGGCCAGACAGTGAAGGGCCCTGGAGAAAATGGTAAAGCTTTACATTTTTTATTTTATTTTTAAGATTTTATTTATTTATTCATGAGAGACACACAAAGAAAGGTAGAGACCTAGGTAGAGGGAGAAGCAGACTCCCTTTGGGGAGCCTGATGCAGGACTCAATCCCAGGACCCTGGGATCATGACCTGAGCCAAAGGCAGACGCTCGACCACTGAGCCACCAGGCATCCCTAAATTTTTATTTTAATAGCAAAGGAAAACGATTGACACAGGAGGACAACATGGTCAAATTTGAAAAGACCACCATGGCCACAGTGCAGAGAGAGGTTGGAGTGGTCAAGGGTGGACAGACATGCCAAGGCCAGTTGAGAAGCTATTGTGATATTCTAGAACGTGGCCCAGGGGTGGCAAGGGAGATGGCATGAGATGAGTAAATTAAAGAGACTTCTGAGAAGGTTAATTGGACAGGGCTTGATGTGTCGGGTAGAGAGGTGAAGAAGAGGAAGGTGTTAGGAAGTCCCCCGGTTGCTGACTTACAGCACAGATGGATGGTGACGCCATCCACTGATGCAGGGCATGGGGGAAAAGGCACTTGGGCGGGGCCATGGAAGGTCAGCTTTGGACATCCTGGATTTGAGGTATCTGAGAGGAAGTTTGCTCTGTGCTTCTGGAGCTCCAAGGAGAGGAAAGGGCTTGGGGCTTTGGGCTAGGAGTGCTGGGTGACAGGGGTGATATTTGGAGCTGCGGCGGCAGGGGAGATGATGAGGGAGAGCAGTGTCTGCAAGGAAGAGGCCTGCAGCCAGGCCAGAAAAGATCTGGCCAGAGATGTGGGAGGACAACCATGGGATGGGGGGAGGCAGGGAAAGGCGTCTCTAGGAGGAGGGAGTCCTCGCAGTCAGAGGAGAGCTGATCTGAAAAATGTCTTGTTATTTGGTGACATGGAGTCTGGGGTAGCTGTAGTAAGGGCTGTTGTATTGTGGAGGGAGGGGCAGCAGAGAACTGGGTGGGAATGGGTGGAGGAACGAGTGGGAGGTGAAGAAGTGAAGAAACCAAGACAGCTTGGCTGAGAACTTTGGTTGTGAAGGAACTGGAGGTGGAGGTGAGATTAAAGAAGTTTTTTTTTTTTTTTTTTAATGGAGACAACACGAGTATTTGTAAAATGCCAATAGGAAGAACCCAGATCAGGGTGGGGAGCAGTCCGAATGGTGGTGGATCTACCTGAGGGCCAGGGGTGGTTCCCAGGGTTGGGTACCCACCCAGGCTGGGGAGGGCCATCTGAGGGAAAGGATGGGCCAATGGGCAGCAAGGACTGGCTGTGGAGATGACAATGACTGACGAGGTCCCATCTGACAGCCTTTGTTCGGAGCTGTAAGAGGCCAGGCTCCCTCCCTAAGGAGGTTTGGCTGTTTCACCACCAGACTCGCCTCTTCCAGGCTGCCCTTACCTGCCCTGTGTTGTGATGGGTGGTGGCCCAGCCGCTTACAGCCCCCGCCCTCTGACAGGCCTCCAAGGGGAGCAGGAAGGGGAGAAAACCTGCCTGGAGCTTGAGTAAGAAATGTTGGAAGGACGGACCGGGAATCCCTTCTCCCAGGAGCCAGGAGCACTTTGCGAAGAGCAAACAAGACAGTTGGCCATTTGCTCAGGAGGGAATCTCAGCTGTTTATTTGGTTTCCCATTTTTTTTTTTTGTGGTGGGTAGAGGGGGTGGCAGGCAGACAGGCCTGAATTCCGGGTTGGGGGGTGCTCTGGGGTGGGGGTCATGAGACCCTGGGCATGATCTGCTTAGAGGTGGAAGGGGGAGACCTTCCCCAGCTGGCTGGGGAGAGGCTGGGCCTCCTGCTAGGGAGGGAGTGTTTACAGGAGGGGAAAGCAGTGGGGAGGCCTGGACTGGACCAGCTGGGACCTCGGCAACAAAGCCCTGCACCAGAGCAAAAGGTGGTCATGTTTCCGTGGAGCCAGCGAGGCACACATCTCAGGGATCCCTCCGTCACATAGCTCTGGGGACCCTCTTTGGGGTCCAGTGATAGTACGGACCCCTGTAAGAATGAGGCCAACCCCAGTGCTGGGAGCAGAGTCCCTGGCACGTGGGGGAGGGGGGTCGGGGAGGAGGTGGGGAGAAGCCTTTTTAATCATTAACCTGGTTGAAACCTGAACTGCTGTGCCTCCAGCTCTATTGATTGTGAAAGCACAGAATCTGGAGCTAGTGGCTGCTCAGAGACCCTGGAGAGGGCCAGGGGAGAGGTAGGGGAAGGGCAGGGAGGGTGATGGGCACCAGGCTGGGAGGGGGTGCTGGGAAGGAGGGGGGGCAGGGTCAGAGGGCTGGGGCTCTCTTGAAGAGGTATTGTCTTGGGGGGGACCCAGGAGGAGGTACAGTCCGCAGAGCCACATGGACCACTGAGAGCAGGAAGGAGCGGAGGATCTGGCAGGGAGGAGGAAACTGAAGCCCAGGGGAGCACAGTGACTTGCCCAAGGTGACAAGGTCAGAGCCTGCACCAAAACTGAGGTCAGCTGACTTCACTGCATGGAGGACAGAGGACACAGGGGAGCATCTGAGCTGATGGGCACGACAAGTCAGCAAGAGGGGGTTGAATGAGGGTACGGAGCTTCTGAGGACACGGGCATTTCCTCTTGCCTGTGAGGATACTACTGGCATTCAAAAAGTGGCTCTGGACTGAGGGAGGGGGATCAGGCCATCAAAGTAGAAAGGAGGGTCAAGAAAGAAGAAATGCTAGAAGGAGCTGCACGGCAAGGAACATGGGGATGACACCTGTCCGTACTCATTTAGCCAAAACCCAGGCCCTGACAAGATGGGTTTTCACTGCGACATCAGAGTGGGCTCCTGGCTCCCAACTATTCTGACAGTAGGACTCATAGGCCCAGGTCACCTCTGAGACAGAAGGGGAGCCCTTCGTGGGGAGCAACATTCTGGCAGGCAGGGTCAGAAACGTGTGGGCGCCAACATGCCATCCTGGTCCCCGCAGCGTCCCTCGCCAGTGCCAGCTCCTAAAATAGCATTTCTGAGCTGGACGAGGATGCGAGCCCAGCTGCCCGCTGGGTGATATGCTTCCAGGGAGGACCAGAGAAGGAGGGAAAGGGCAAGCTCTGCAGACAGAATTGGACAGGTACCTGAAGTGAGTTAAGGGCAGTCTGATGGTAGAGAGAAAGAGGAATGAAAACAACATGCACACAGAGATAATGTGGCTCTGACGGCACAGAAAATGCTAGGATTCCAGAGAAGACAGGAGCAGACACGACGCCATGCTGAGGATGTCCTAGGACGCTACATTCTGTCTGTGGTCATGGTCATAACAGGTGCCAGGCTGTCCAGTCCTGCACCCTAGAAGCTTCACCCTGGACATTCCAAGGGGAGACTGTGTTGCCGGTGGCATGAAGAACAATGAAGGTAGTGGGCCCAGAGCCTCGTGTCGATAACATCTTTTTCTCCCCTTTCTCTGACAGCTCAACATCCTGGTGGACACAGGCAGCAGTAACTTTGCAGTGGGGGCTGCCCCCCACCCTTTCCTGCATCGCTACTACCAGAGGCAGCTGTGAGTCCTGGGCAGAGCTAGAGAGAACTCTTCCCAAGGATCCAGGGCCCAGAAGAGTCAAGGGAGGGCTTCGGGGAGAAAGACTAGCTTCTTGGATCCTTTCCAAGACAGAAAAGTAGAGAGGGGGGATTTGAGGAGGTAGATTATGGGAAAGGGTAGGCTGAGGGGCCACCAGAGAGTTCTTGAGTACTGAGACAGGGCAGCTTCCTTGGAGAGGGAAAGGAAGAGAGGAACCCCAAAGCTCCCAGAGCAATCCTAATGAATTGCAAGGCATGGAGAGGGCATCCCAACCCTCCACCCCCCCCACAGTGGCTCTCAGGTTTCTGGTGAGACCAGTGAAGTCTAGGTGGAGCAGACTGTGTGACCCTGCCTTTGCTGTGCTCTCACCCAGGGGCTGCTCCTGGTGGCATTTCACAGTTCAAGGGAGTAGAGGAAGAGCCTTCCATACGCCCCACTGCCTGAACCATACCAGGGACCAAAAGCTAAAATGTCTCCCTGTACCACCCAGAGTTTCAGCAGCGGGATTTAGCAAACTGGTAGAAGGCAGGGTTGAAGTGGGTTTTTAAAAGGTAAGAGGCAGAGAAAGGTGATGTGGGAGCCTCCTTAGCATAAAAACATCTAATGTGTGAGGTGTCTGTGTGTGGAAAGCTGTGAATAGAGGCTTCAGTGGCATTCTTGGACTTCTAGGCAGATGCCAAAGCCACCTGCCGCCATCTTCTGTCGTCCCTATCTGAAGAGAGCAGGCAGGGAGTGGGGTGTGGTGAGGATCTGTGAAAGGGATTCGTTCCAGCCCCACCTCCCCCCCCCCCCCCCCCGTCCCAATCCCATCACTGCCCCCTCGCTGGCACACACACAAATAGGCCTGGTTAGTGGTGCAATGAGACACAGGCAAAGGTGTCATGTACTGATGGGCATGTTCCATACAAGTGGTGTGTGATACTTACCTGCTGTGCTGAGATCCTGTGCCAGTTCTTTCTTTGGAAGAACTTGCTGTCGAGGTTCCACATTTACCCCGCCTGGCACTTTCTCTACCACTCAGATGGTACCACCGGGTCCCAAGGCAGCGAGAGTCAAAGGCTCCTTTTCTCTGGAAGCATGACGGAGCCAGGGGGAGGAAGAGATGCCCACTAGCTGTCCTTCGGTGGCAGTGGGCACAATACACAAAGCCTAGGCTTGTTCCCCTCAGGCCCTGAGCTCAAGATCAAGGGATAGAAGCTGTGGAGACAGGAGAGGGAGCCCCAGCAACAGCTCCCCTCAGCTGTTTGCAAGGTTACTTTACATTCTATTCTGGGTGATTGATCTGGGATGTTCTGCTGAGCAGCCTAGAAGCATCTTATGTGGGATGCCCCTGAGATAAGGTGAGGCATTGGAAGTAGGTTAGATGCTAGGGTCCCCCTGCCAGTTGTTGCGGTCATGCCTCCACAGACCTCTGCCTCCTCTTTACAGGTCCAGTACATACCGGGACCTCCGAAAGGGCGTGTATGTGCCCTACACCCAGGGCAAGTGGGAGGGGGAGCTGGGCACCGACCTGGTGAGCATCCCCCATGGCCCCAACGTCACTGTGCGTGCCAACATCGCTGCCATCACCGAATCAGACAAGTTCTTCATCAATGGCTCCAACTGGGAGGGCATCCTAGGTCTGGCCTATGCTGAGATTGCAAGGGTAAGAGGGGCAAGGCCTGGCCCTGGACCGTGTGTCTGCACAATGCATACTGCATGCTCCTGAGAGATGGGCTTGAAGAGAAAGGGAATGGACTAAGGGAGGGAAACAGAGCAGCTTAAAGGATTTGTTAACGGGGGTAGCATGGCAGTCTGACTCTCATCCCTGCAGAGCTGCCCTCTGCAGGACTATAGTGAGGGACGCTGTGAAAGATACAGGATTAGGCTCTGGTTTCTACCTAGATCTTAGGAATAAGGGAGCCCACTCACCACCCCCAAACCCCAAACAGGTTAAGTATACAGGGGATCGAAGATTCTGCAGATCTTTCCTGTTTGCACTGCCAATGTCTCTTGCTAACCCTCTCTCTGCCAAATCTCAGTACTTTAAGATAAGTCTTTCCCAAAAACATCCCCCAAGGTTTTGCTTTTGCCTTCCAGTTTAGGCAGGAAGCTGGCCTCTTTCCACTGGGACTCTCTCTGAGGATTCACTCCTTGTCTTTTTCTGCTACAGCCCGATGACTCCCTGGAGCCATTCTTTGACTCCCTGGTAAAGCAGACCCACGTTCCCAACCTCTTCTCCCTGCAGCTCTGTGGTGCTGGCTTCCCCCTCAACCAGTCAGAAGTGCTGGCCTCGGTTGGAGGGAGCATGGTGAGTAGGTCCTAGGAGTGGGGAGGTTCTAGTACTGGGCAGAGGGATGGGTACCATCTGCCTCCCCACCAAGGCTACACTACAGTCTTGGGCTGCACTACTTAGAATCAAGAGAAACCTCTTTAGGCTCCCCACTTGCACTTTTCTTTTTTCCATCCTTTTCTTGCATTATTCCAGAAAGGATTCCAGGTACCTATGGTAAACTTGGAAAGGATGAGAAGATTAGGGAACTTTAAAGGAAATGAAAATAAGACCTTTCAAGTTAAGATGATTCTATTTGATGAGAAGGCAGAGATGTAAGGAGTTTAAAAGTCTATTTATTAATTAATTAGGACAACTGGTGAATGGTTCTCCATCTCCAACACGCAGAGAAAATGAAACTTGTAATAGAAGCAAATAATCATTCATTTAACATTTATTGTGCCAGTTTAGTTTAAATAACTTTAGATTGAGGGTTGTGAGACTCTGAAACAAATAATTTAAAATCCTGTAAAGTCTTCCCCTGACATATTCTTAAGATATTTAAGAAACTACAAATCACTCTGGGACAGGATATGATTAGAAGCAGGAAGATGAGAAAGGTGGCCTGTAAAGGGCCTTGCCACCAATCCAGAAATCTCTGATCCCATTGCTTGCTCTCTGGGTGTCCCACTGTGCTGGGATACGGGTACCTGCCTCCTTTTGTCCCTAGATCATCGGGGGTATCGACCACTCACTGTACACGGGCAGCCTCTGGTACACACCCATCCGGCGGGAGTGGTACTACGAGGTGATCATTGTAAGGGTGGAGATCAACGGGCAGGACCTGAAAATGGACTGCAAGGAGGTAATGACACCAAGGGGGACCAGGGAGAGGTAAGGGGGAGGCAACATAGCATGAGGCGAGACCCTGAGTTATGAGGTTGGGAGGACGAGGCCAGAGGAGCAGGACCTGCAGAAAGGGTTGGGAGCTGAACCTAGAACAATCAGGAGCTTAAAGGTAACATAGCGGGACCTGAAGTTTGGGGCTAGGAACAGGCAGGGCATGTACACAAGGACCTTGTGGCTTATGGTCTAGTAAGGGAAAAAAAGCATGTCTGGACTCTAGTCACTGCCTTGCTTGATGGCCTTGGGCAAGTCATATGCGAGGCAGTGTGCTATGGTATAACAGAAGAGTCCAGCTTGGGACTTGGAGAGACCATGATTTCTAGCTCTGCCATTTACTAGCTATGTACCCTCAGGCAAGTTACTAGGTTGTGTTTCAGTTTCCTCATCTGCAAAACAGAGGGAAAAACAGCTTTTCCAGAGATTGTGGTGAAGACAGTGAAAATAATTAATTCTTCTAGTGCCTGGCACACAACAGTACCCAATAAATGACAGCTCCACCATCTGGGTCTTCCTCACCTGGATTCTTAATGTATGTTACATGAGAATAGATATAAAAGTACTATGAAAAGTTAAAAGCACTATACAAGGTATTTTATGTTCAAGATTTGGAGAAGGACTGCCCAAGCGAAGATACCTAAGAGTTAGCATTTACTGAATGCTTCCTACGTGCCGGGCACCATTCTAAGCACTTCACATGTATTCATTTAATCCTTATAATAATTTTTTGAGGTAGGTACTAGTATTATCCTCATTTTAAAGATGAGGAAACTGAGGCACAGAGGCTGAACAACTTGCCCAAGGGTAAACTCCTAAGAGAAGTGCCAAGCCAGGATGCCACCCCAAGCGGTCAGATCCACCCTTCTGATTCCAGCCAGAGCCTGGCATCAAAAAAGGCTTTTGACTCTTCTCTCTATTCTCCGTCCTAGTACAACTATGACAAGAGCATTGTGGACAGTGGCACCACCAACCTTCGTTTGCCCAAGAAAGTGTTTGAAGCTGCTGTCAAATCCATCAAGGCAGCCTCTTCGGTCAGTGGGACTTGGGGCAGGAGTGTAAGAATGATACAGTGTCAGAGGAAGTCTGTGAAGGTCACAGCCCTCAATGAGACCCAACTTATCTACCCTTAGATCCTTCTACTTAAATGTCTTCAGAGCGAGTCTCTTTCATGAGCCTTGGCTTGCTCATCACATAATTCCCCTGGCGCAGAGTTTTGGTCTCACTCTCCAGCTCTCTTTCCCTAATTCTTGGGTTTCCGTGTGCCCTTCCCTAGTTTGGATATTCCACGGAAAAGCAAAAAGGGCCCAGGAAGTGTTACCTGAGGCAGGAGAAGTGAGACGGTGGAGAGGCGGTTTCCTCACGGTTACCCTTTGTTGCTCACACAGACGGAGAAGTTCCCGGATGGGTTCTGGCTGGGGGAGCAGCTGGTGTGCTGGCAGGCAGGCACCACCCCTTGGAACATTTTCCCGGTCATCTCCCTCTACCTGATGGGCGAGGTCACCAATCAGTCCTTCCGCATTACCATCCTTCCTCAGGTATGTCTCGAGCCAGAGTCAGTGGGATCCCAGGAAGACAACACAGTGTACATGGGGAGACAGGGCCCAGGCGTGGCTTCCCAGTGTGGAAGACAAGAAAGGAGTGTCCCATATTAAAAGGCATCCCTGCAGGCCTCAGGGATGGCAAAGGAAGAGGGGCCTGAGCACATAGATACCTAGAAGGCAGAAGTGAGGTGAGAGCTGGAGCAATGAGGACATCATTTCCTTCTGATTGCTTGTCCTCAGCAATACCTGCGGCCAGTGGAAGACGTGGCCACATCCCAAGATGACTGCTACAAATTCGCCATTTCACAGTCATCCACGGGCACCGTAATGGGAGCTGTTATCATGGAGGGCTTCTACGTTGTCTTTGACCGAGCCCGAAAACGAATTGGCTTTGCCGTCAGTGCTTGTCATGGTAAGAGAGCCAGGGAGGAGGGTGTGGGTTCAGTCTATCCGTGTTCTCACTGCCCAGCAGTTAGGACACCTGGGCCCCTGGCAGGCTGGGAGGTAGTCAGAGTTGCCTTGAGGCAGAATCAACACATTGTGTAGAAGCTAGTGTCCATGCTCATGCTGTGCCCGTGTTGCCGGACATGCTGAGACCTGTGTGAGTTGGTAACCTCTGCTGGAGACCCAGAGCAGCAAGAGCTGCCTGGGCTGCTTGGGAAGCTCTAGATCCACAGGCAGCAGGCTGAGCCTGCAGTGACCCTGTCAGCTACTACATGAGGGTGGCGGGGTCTTCCAAGTAGTATTGGCAGAAGCAGGTGAGTGTACTGGGTATCCACAGGGCTGTCTTTTTGGTCAACTCAGAAGACTGACCTTTAGGTATCATTCCATAACCACATGGTTATACAGGAAAGGGTTGTTGCTGGGAGGAGAGACATGCTTCTACCTAGCAAGGCTTTTCTGGCCTGCTCCTAAATCTCTTCAAGGAAGGAGATGCTTGGCTAATTTCAAGGCCTATCAGGAAGTTCTTTTTGTTGCGTGACCCAAACTGGTGACGATGAGAGCTGCCCATTCTCGTTTGCCCTTTCTCCAGTGCATGATGAGTTCAGGACGGCAGCAGTGGAAGGCCCGTTTATCACCCTGGACATGGAAGACTGTGGCTACAACATTCCACAGACAGATGAATCAACCCTCATGACCATAGCCTACGTCATGGCTGCCATTTGCGCCCTCTTCATGCTGCCGCTCTGCCTCATGGTGTGCCAGTGGCGCTGCCTCCGCTGCCTGCGCCATCAACATGATGACTTTGCCGATGACATCTCCCTGCTGAAGTGAGGAGGCCCATGGGCAGAAGACAGATTCCCCTGGACCACCTTTGGTGGTTCACTTTGGTCACAAGGAGATACTGATGGCACTGATGGCCAGAGCACCTCAAGACCCTCGCCTGCCCACCAAATGCCTCTGCCTTGACAAAAGAGAAGGGAAAGCTGGCAAGGTGGGTGACAGGAATGGCACCTGTAGGAACCAGGAGAGGGAAGAAAGAAGCATTCTGGTGGCGGGAATATTCTCGGTCACCTCAAGCCTGAGTTGGGAAATTCTGCTGCTTGACACTTCAGCCTTGAACCTTTGCCCACCATCCCTTTGGGTTGGAGAATCCAACCATTCTATTCTTCTTTTCTTAATTCCAGAAATAGTGGCACCACAGCCAAGTCACCCCAGTGTGCGTCTCTCTGCGGTACCCTGGCAGAGAAAGGGCCAATGTTGTTTCCCTGCTGGCCAAAGTCAGTAGGAGCAGATGCACAGTTTGCTATTTGCTTTAGTGATAGGGGCTATATAAACAAGCCTAACATTGGTACAAAGATTGCCTCTTGAATTAAACAAAAAATAATGAGACTGAATATTTGTACAAACGGGGGCGGTTGGAAAAGGAGAGGAGAGGGAGTGCAAAGACAGGGAACAGCTGGGATCAGAGCTAGAAAAGGCAGAACCATGACCACTTGCCAGTCCCAGTTTCAGACTGCATCTCCAAGATAGAAGCACATCTTGTAAGATGGGTGTTGCTTCCCGATGTTTTCTTTTCTGTGGTTGTAGCCTGACCAAAAGTGAGTTGGGAAGGAGGGCTTACCTAGCCAAAAGCTCTTTTTAACTCTCTTAAATGAACAGTGCTCACTAAGAAGTTCCATCTAACAAATGACTTTCTACCTTAATGATTCCACTTGTCTCTACCTGAACCCTTTACTCCACAAATGATAAGGTAACATTGACATTTCCCACCCTCACCCCAGCCCCAGGTACCCTATGAAAAAGCAACTGGAATATAGCAAAGATCCCAGGGCCGGGCTTGGTCTTCCTGCTTCCGTGTCCACCCCTGCCCCCCAAACCCTATTCCTCTGGAGCGCTGCAGCTGAGGTGCTAGGAGGGCTAGACAGGAGGACCCCCCCCCCCTTACTTGACCCTTGAAGGCAGAATCCTCAAGATTCGCTCAACAGGTATCGGTTGATGCCTTGTGCCTCTGCCTGGATTTCTTCCTGTTCAGCTCTAAGTAGTAGTAAGATCTCCTTGCGATACAGAGCAGTGTCATCGCCTCCTCACCCTCTCTAACGTCCCCTCCATTAACCTGGCTGAGGTACCCCACAGTGGCACTAGTATTATACCCAGTGTCAGAAACACAGGGCTTTCTGGCTCTAGCATCAGTTGCCTTCAGTAATAAGGCTGCTGGAGCAAGGCTGGCAGCCTCAGGGCTTCCGTACTTCCTTCACCACCAGAGTCCCTCGGGGGAGGCCATCCTTCTCCCCTATCCTGCTCTCTCCTCCCCACTCCCAATAGTATTTGGTACCCAGGCTGGTTCTTGGGCTAGGTAGTGGGGACCAGGTTTGTTTCCTCCCTATCAGTTCTAACACAATCAACTCTGATACCAGTGTTAGTGGAAAACCTGATTCTCCTAGTAGACCCACCAGGTCCTATCACTATCTTATCACCACACTGCTTCCAGGTATGGGACCTGCCGAGTGTGGAATTACCTGATGAGGGAAGGGAAGGGAAGAGATGAGGAGGGCCTCTGGAGATCCTGGCCTTGGCCAGCTGCCCACAAGCCATAAACCAATAAAACAAGAATATTGAATCACAGTTCTTTATCTGGGTTCTCTTCATTCCCCTTGCACTTGGTGCTGCTCTGGCTGACTGGGAACACCCCCAACCACAAAGACTGTCAGAAGACTGGAGACTCCGTTTTCAGCTCAGAACTTACTGTGTAAATAAACTTCCAGAATTGCTACCATGTAATGAAAATGCCACAATCTGCTTTATAATTTCTATCCATGTTGGGGAAAACTGGCTTTTTCCCAGCTCTTTCCAGGGCATAAAACTCAACCCCTTCATTAGAAAGTCCCACTGTCCCTGTTTTTTTTTTTTTTTTTTAACTTGTACTTATTTTTCTTTTTGCAGTTACTTCCTTTCTACCCTGAAACTATTAACTCTAAGTGTAAAAAAAACATCTTGACAACAGCTTCTTGCTTGTAAAAATATGTATTATATATCTCTATTTTTAAAGTCAACTCCTGAAAAGTGACTGTCCCATCTCTACTCACTGCATCAGAAGCCTTTCCTGTTGGTCTGCATGGCTTCTACCCCTGCAGGCCAGTAGGCAGAGGGAAGAGGGAGAACAAGGGTGGCCAAAACTTAAATGTTGCTTTCTGACTGATCCTGAACAAGACAGAGAAAAGAGCAACAGTGAGGCCCCAACTCCCACTCCCACCCACTGCTCCCCAAAACATCTGTCCTCTTGCTTTAGTTGGCTTTCAAGGGGCTTTTACTAGGAACCCATTAAGCCCCCCTCCCACTTCTTCCTTTCTTCTTTCTATACTCCTTTGGCTTCAAAGATGTGTGGAAAAGAAAGAAATCAGCCTTTATATCCATTCCTAATTTCTATATTTTGAGGGGATACTGAAAAAAATTGCTGGTTGTCTAAAGGCTACTGCCAAGCTGATGAGAGAGAAAATCTTTTGATTACAAGAGAAAAACTGATTCCCCTGAATGAAAAGAACAAAGAGCTGATCTTCCATTTTGCCACATTTCCATTCATGATAGCTACCAAACTGGAGACATTAGTATTTCATTAACCAAAGAAAGTGGGTCACCTGACCTCTACAGAGGGGAGAACTCAGGCCATTTCAATCACCCTTCCAGATGCCAAGGAGCTCCTGGGAAGTCCAGCTCCTGAAAATGATGCTAGTCAACAAACCTGAGCAAGTAAGGAAGGCAAGAGAAGGGATGGACTACATCTAAGAGGGTGATAGGCAAGGAGGAAGGACAAAGAGGGAAAAGAACAAAAACAGAGCAGAGAACTTAATTGGATCTGAAAGGGAACAGTACTGCTAATGCCAGTAAGCATTTCCAGGTCCCAGAACGGGCAAAATTCAGCAGTTGGTAATAGAATGATGTCCTCCTCCTGAAACTAATTTTTTTTTTAAATTAACACTTCGTTTTTCCTTATTTAATTCCAAAAGAGAAGGAAGCTGAAGCCATTTCCTATAGGAGTAAAGATAAAAAGATAGGAAAAGATTCAAAGCTCCCATAGATTCACAGCTTTCACAAGTATAAACCTAAAAACCAGAATGCTCAATAAGCAGAAGTGGGAAGACGATCTCATTCTAGATAGCTATCTATAGAACAAATGACTTCTAAATTTGAAGTTCAACCTCCCTTCCTTTCACTTTGGCCTTCATTTTTCCCAGGACGGAAACAAGCCCCCCCCACCCCCATCATTTTCTTGCTTCAAAAGTTAAAATCCGGCATCCCAAGATCACTCTGCAATTAATTTTGCACAGACATCTCCTCACCCCAGTGCCTGCCTGGAGCTCACCCAAGGTCACCAAACAACTTGGTTGTGAACCAACTGCCTTAACCTTCAGTAGGGAGGGAGACTAGCTGACCAGGAGACTACAAGTGAAGGGGAAGAGGTAAGGCCTTCATGAGGTTGGTCTGTCAGAGCTTAATCGGAAGCCAAGTCAGTGGCAGCAAGGGATGGCCTGGCCCAGGAAAGATCTGTGGGCTGTGCTAGTTTCTAAAGAGAGGACTATCCAGGAAGTCAGATGGACAGAAGTTTGCAGGGGGCCTGGGGGAAATGGGACCCAGTCATATTGTTATTCTTGGACTGTGAATTTTGCTGATGTAAAACAGAATATTCTGTAAACCTAATGTCTATGTGCAAATAATGAGCATTAACACAGTAAAATATTCAATGAAAATTCCAACTATTAGGGTTACATTTTTTTTTCCTCAATCAGTCTCATTTCATCCATTTAGAGTCAAATGGCTAGAACAACACTGAGGCTTCCATAGGCTTTCAATAAGCAAGGCATCTGGCTGGACAGCAGGTGAGCACCAGGGTTCAAATCTGCATACAGGAGCCTTAAGAAAATGAACTAGAGGCTGAGCCAAATCAAAGCAGGATGGCCTTAGAGCAACAGCAGCTTCCTAGATGGTTTTTATATTGTACTTGAAAACAGCCCTAGGCAAGAATATCATAATTTCAAGGGCAAACGCAGTATCATCTTACCTACAATCTGCATCCCCCAAAGGAACTGCAAGGTGAGGGGGAGAGACCATTTCTGCATAATATACATACTTTCATTTACGAACATTTGGATACAGACTTTCTATACACACATTACCTATATAATAAAAATGTACATAGCATGAGTATAGGTCACTGTATAAATATAGAGTTTTAGAAATCTTGAACCCGCGCTTCCTGTTCACATCAGCTTCTCCTCTTCTTCCTCCCCAGTCAGGTCCGTCATTTAAGAGTTGGACAAAAGGGACAAGTGTCATTTGTGTTGGTCTGGGCCCAGAATTTGATACACTGGAAAGGAAGAAAGACACATCTCAGGTTTATCTGGAAAGATGGAGGGAAGGAGGGAAGAGCATGCCACTGAGTTCACTAGGTCTGAGGAATGAATGTATACTAAGTCAGAAGGGCTCTCATCATGGGGTCCAGATGGGCTATTTCATCAGCTCTTACCCCCAAATGAATCTCAGAGCAGAAGAACCTGTTCTTTTTACAGGGAACATTAACAATCACCTAAAAATGGTGTGAAGCTGCTTTGTGTTGGATACCTGTGGTGGCCTTCCCCTTCTCATGATCCATTTAGGCTGAGATCCGCTCCCATCTCCAAATACCCAACTACCCTCAAATCTTATTCAGGATTTTCCTTTACTAAGACTTTAGACGTAAATTCAATTTCTACCTCTTGGAAAATGAAAATGAACAAAACAAAATAATAAAGAAGGAATCATCCCTGCTGCTGAGAGACTTAACCCTGTCTGGTAAAATAGCCGGGGACAGGACTAACCTGTCAGTTTTTGAAAATAATCTCTAATAGGCAGACATCCAAGCTATTCTGTTAATGGATTTACTAACCTCATATTCAGGTTCCCTATTCCATTCTTCTCATCTAAGCAAAGTCTCCTGACAACGCTATATTTGAAACAATGGTTAAATATGTCTGTCTTACTGGCAGTGTTCTAAGAAAGTGACCTACCAGTGCTCTAGGATGAACTGCTTATCCAGTCCCTTAAAGGGAAGGGGGTAAAAGGAAGCTGGGAGATCTTAGCTGCTGGGATTCCGAATTCTGCTGATTGTTTCAGCCACAGTTTTCTGAAAACCTCATGTTGAGATAGTCATGATGAGTGTCAACAACACAGCAACATATTTGAGAAAAACCCAGAGAAGAAAGAGTGGAAGGGAAGAAGTATGCAGCACCTACCTCCTTGTGCAGCACATGGGTACATGCCATGGGATGCAGCTCACTGGGCTGGACAAGCTTCTGGCACATCAGACACAGCTTACAAGTGGCCGGAGCCTGCAGGACAGAGGGATGGCCAAAGAGTAAGGAACCTCTGGGTCTCTTGGCCTCTTATGTCCATGATTCCATTTACTATTTCCGCGTAGCAAAAAAGATTTTACAGCAGAAGAAAGAAATGTTCAAATACATTTATTCTTGAAGTACTTGCATTTTCTCAGTTGGAGCTGCAAACAAGTCAGCTGAGGAGAGGGTGGTTTTTTCCCTGCACTCCACCTGTAAACCTGTTTCTTCCCCCATTACCACCACACCTACCCCCACCACCCCCCGACACACACACAGCCCACCCCCGCTTCTCCACATCCCAGTTTTCAAAGGAAAAGAGACTTACATGGGAAGACCTTCCAGGATATGACACTTGAGCAGAAGGCAGGAACATTGGGGTACTGATTTGGGTCAGTGGAGCAGGGAACAGGGCCCGGATCCGACCAAGCGGCTGTGGGCAGAAACATTGTCAAGAGTAAGGAGAGAGAGTCTGTGTGACAGAGCAGGTTAAAAAAAAGAATAATTTCTTTCCCAGGCCAACAAAGAAGAGACCAGGCTAGATGCCCCTGGCCACAGTGCTGTTCGCCACCTACAATTCTGCTATCTGCCCTTTCCCCAGCAGCTCAGCAGGTCTCAGTTCTCCCCCAGGTAGCCCTTCTCACCTGAGTACTGGCTGCCACCCGCTCGTGTTCAGCCAGTCGGGCAGCTACCAACTGGATCAGTTCCTCCATGGTCAGGCCTGCCATGGTGGTCCGTGCTGTCTTGATTTGCTGAAGAATGTTAGTCATCTGGGCCCTAAGAAACCACAAGTTAAGGGAGAGAGATTCTATGCTGTACTTGAGGAAAATCTCCAAGAAATCTCCCCTATTTTGACCTATAAACATTTCTCTGACTCATTTTTTTTTAAATTAGTCCTGAAAGATACTTACTTATTGCATTGTGGGAAGCGAGTCAGTAGCTTCTCCAGGATCTTCTCCAGTTTGTCTACTGGTTGGGGCCGGGGAGTCTCAGTAGAAGCCTTAACACCACCCAAGCCTGGGGGAGGTGGGATGGAGGCAGCAGGGGGCATGTGTGGACCGTGGGGGCCAACGAGGGAACCCAAGCCGGGGCTGTTTCTCCCATGGGAGCCAGGAAGGGGCGGGGAAGGCTGGCTGGGCTGGGAAAGGGCAGGATTTAGGATTGGGAAAGACAAGGAGCGGGGATCTGCGCTGGGCATAACCATGGGCACTGTGACCTGCCCAATGGAGAAGGGCATCCGAGGAGGCAGAGAGGGATTCG